ACTTTAAAAACGCTAAAGCTAAACGCTGCCCACAAACCCCAGATAGCCCTTTTAAAACTTTAACACCTAAAGCTAATCTCTAACGTCATTCCCAAACAGTCTTTTAGGCTACATGAAATTAATACTCCCTTCGTCCAAAAATTTCTTTTTCGGTTTGACTTGGCACGGAGATTAATAGATGTTAAAAAGTGTAAAGACTTTTCACGTGTTGCCCTTGATGTGATAGAATAAAACAAATAGTGTAAATAAAAAGATGATGATATAATGACACATTCATTAAAAAATTGTCAAAATAGAAAACGAGAAAGATATTTTTAAACAGTTAAAAAAGGAAAGTATGTGAGTCAATGCAAAGCACTAGATTAAGATTAATTTAGAAAAAATTAGAGTGAAATTAGTGTGGGATGAGAAATATTTACACTAAATAGCACTAAAACTTAAGTCATTTCCCTAAATAGCACTTAAACTATTTTATTTTCTAAATAACACTTAATATAATCCAGAATGAGGAATAATGTCCATTGATGGCGAACATTTACTTGAATAATGACTAATAGATAATGACTAAAAGTGATACATTGAAAAAAAACGCATATGATGCTATTTAGAAAAAGTCATTATGTTTTAGTGTTATTTATATTAAGTAAATTCCCCATTAATATTTTAGTGGGGTGTGACTATCACCACCCTTCATTAACTCAAATTTTGAATTCTAATGGACCAACTTTATATCAAAGTATACAAATTGGTTATGGTCTGAAAACAAAATTGTGCTAGTTAGACATTAATTCATTTCAACTCTGGAGAAGACACGTGATATAAACATGAAATTTATAAAAAGGAAAATAAAGATTGCATTCACCACCAAACCATGGACAAAGGTTGGGATGATTTCTCCAAATCAAACTACATCATGATGAAAGATAGTAGAATCACAAAAAAAAAGAACATGAGACACATGGTGTAAGTAAGCCAAGTCCAAAATTCCTAATGAGGAACTAACAAGTCAAAATTAGAAAGCCCATTATATCGTAAAGGCCATGCTTGTGGTGACTAAGCCCACGATTTTGTCCCTAGTTTATTCGCTTGCCTGTACACATTATAGTGTTGGTCAGGCCGACATAAAAAAACTCAACAATTAGCGTCGGGTAAGCCCATGTAAATTTGTGAGGGCTACGCGAGCCTCGCAAATATTGACAGCTAATTTAACAAATTCCAGTAGTGAGGGGAAATAGTCTAAATTGTCCTTATGGGTGGTAGATAGTGAGGTTGGGTGCATTTAAGAAATAAAGGAGGAGCAAAATGGACAAGTTGAGGATATTACACTTATCAAAAAAAGTAGACAAAAACGGTGGGACTGTCCGAAAAGAAAAATTGGACAAAAACAGGTACACGGGGAGTGTATTTTCTCCCAAGCTATCACCTTTTTTTGGAGGCTTCAATGTGTTGGATTTGATATATGGTCTGTTTGGAAATAATGTTAGAGATTGGCGTTAGCATTTTCAAAAAGGTATCTATGGGCAGCATTTAGATTCAGCGTTTTCAAAGTAATCTGCACCGTTAAAATTTTATTTAAAACGCTAATGCTAATCTCTCTTTCCATCATCTCCGAAGGACCCAAAATTTCACCATTTTTTGGCTTTGGGGTGTGATGGAATAAATTAAAATGGATCTCTAAACTGTCTGCGCTTCTTTAATTAATGAAGTAGCAGTTAGTCAAGCAATGCAACTTTCGACGTTGAGCCGGGGGTCTCTTTGGAAACAACATCTCTACTTTCGAGTAGGGGTAAGGACTGCGTACACACACCCTCCCCAGACTCTTGTGGGATTTAACTGGGTTGTTGTTGTTGTTGCTAATGCTAATCTCTAAGGCTATTCCCAAACAAGTCCATAATGTAAAATTATGAGATTCCATTCCAAAAAAAATATTCTATCTAACTCTAATATATGGACTCTATGGAGTATTAGTCTTTTTACGATGTAAAACTAATTTATATCGATAAATCCTCACGAGAATTAATTACGATAAAAAATATTTTCTCTGTTCCAATAAATACTTTTATATTGACTTTGGACAAAAATAAGAAAAGATTATTTGGAGTTGAATTCCTTTTTTGCCTTTGATGTGATAAGTAGGGTAAAAAATATATTTGTAAAAGTACTTTTTTACTCCGTAATAGAAAGTGAAAGTATTTTGAAAAAGATAAAAAAAATAAAAGAGGAAATATTTTAAAAAACAGAGGAATAAATAGTAAAAAAATCCTAAAAAATACTTCGTACTCCGTATTAAATAAGAGAAATGTTAATCTTACACTATTAACTTGGTGTAAGATTGTGACACCATCTAATTTGGCACCCCTACATTGATCCGATCCATAATTGACGGTTCCTTCCCTCTTCGGCAAACCCTCCTAGCCTGGGACGTCCTTAAAGCACCCTTGCACCCCTATAATTGCATTACCAAATTTATTGACTTTTGGGGTCAAATTTTTACCAAATTTTTGGTGGTGCTATTGGAAGGGGTGCGAAGGTGCATTAGGCACGAGTCAGATTGACGTGGGGGGTTGCTAGGGGGGTAAGAAATGACAATTTTGAATGAGAGCACCGTAGGGACCGGGCGTCAATTGAGAAATCATCACAATCCTATACCAAATTAATGATGTACTTCTCATTGAAGAATTAATTCTTTAAATAATATGGAGTTACAAATACATACTTCATCTGTCACGCAAAATATATTTTTTACTTTTGAAAGGCGAAGCTATAGAAATTTGACCGAAGTGAAACGATGAGAATTGAAACGTGTATGGTTCAAGAAATGTCAAAATGGATAGGTAGGCCATGCGTAGAATATAGTTGGTGTATGTTCAGTTAAATTAAAAAAAAAGTAAGAGCAATTGTGTCTTTTTAAGCCAATATGAAATGTTCTATAGGGCTTGAAAAGTGAGAAAAATAAAAAATTTTATGAGAGGAAAGAAATAGTAAATGGAAAGTAGTATTTACTACATAGACTAATTATACACTTTGTCACTTGCATGGGCACTTTGATCCATTGTCCGACAATATGCGCAGTCTCTTATTTGACTTCTCATTGCAAATGTTTAGACAGTCAAGTTTTGGTTAACAAAAATCTTCTCCAAGTCATCCTTATTCATATGATTGGAATCTTCCATCTCATGTGGTAGACGTAAGTTAATTTGAAAGATTATAGTGAACTTGTTGATATATATATATATATATATATATAGAGAGAGAGAGAGAGAGAGAGATTTTGGTTCAGGTGATAATGCAATCTAATGAAAGAAATAAGAATGAATCTGTTGCATTAGATTGGGAGATCTAAGGGTTAGGATTGCATCAAAATTAGGTGCACCAAGATGGTTTGAAAATGCATCATGTCGAAATGCACCATAATCCTTTGAAAATGCACTATCTCAAAATTTGAGTGCAGAATGCAATCTGAGCCGCACGATGCATCAGATCCAAAGGCCAAATTTTATTCTTATTTCTTTCACCAAGGTGCATTCTCACTTGAACCAGCCCCTATATATATATATATATATATATATATATATATATATATATATATATCATGGTTAATTTGACTTATTGAGCTCAATGGTTTTGTTTAAACTTTAAAGTACTTACTAATTACGGAATAGAGAAAGGGATAAAATAAGAATAGAATGACACCCACAATATATGACACCAGTTGCGATACCCGTTCAATTGTGGGTCCTGTAACGTTTCGTTTGTAAAATTGATAGTTTCCACTTTTTCCCTAAACGTCAAACCCTACCATAGTCCCGTTGCATCCCCTCACCCCCACGACTGCTTTTTAACGAAGGTTTTTCTAAATTGCGGGGGATATGCCCCACGCTATTCTTATTTTCAAATAAGCTGAGGTTAATGTTTGCCGTTGTTTTCAATTGTTTTTTCCAATTCTCTAAAAGAGTTTGTTTGGTATACGGAATTGGAATTGTGTTTTTATACTTCCTATTTTCTTCAAAAAAAATATTTATAAATTTTTAACCATATATCTTTATTATTTTCAAACTCAAAATAAAATGAAAATAGAAAATTGAAGTACTTATATATTCTCAAGAAAAGAGATAATTAGGGATGGCAACGGGTCGGGTTCGGGTCGGATAGTACTATACCCGAACCCGACCCGACTTTTAAAACCGAAACCCGAACCCTACCCGAAACCCGACCCGACCCGAACCCGACATTCCAACCCAAAACCCGAACCCGACCCGAACCCGATTTTTAACCAATAATCAATTCAATGTGCCCCAATAATTTTAAAAAGATTAAATCTAATTTTTTTGTGTCTCATTTTTTTTATTAAGGAATTATAAAAATGATTATAAATGGCATATTTGATATTGTAGCACTTTGTCAAGAGATTATACGGAGTGCTCATTATATCTATAGATAGGCTTTTATGTTATAAAATATTCGGGTTTGAGTCGGGTTCGGGTCGGGTTCGGTTCGGGTCGGGTAAAATAATAAACCCACACCCGACCCGACCCGATGTCGGGTTCGGGTAAAAAATTTCGGGTCGAGTTCGGATTATTTTATTCTCGGTTCGGGTTCAGATATTTTAGTGGTTGGTCGGGTCGGTTAAGCTCGGGTTCGGGTTGAATTGCCATCCCTAGAGATAATGACATAATGCGTATACGGAGTATATATGGACCGGACAAGGAGTGTATAGAATACCTTAACCTTAGCTTCACGGCTTCATCATCCACTAGGGCCCCAACTTCTCTCGACGTAATCCATTCAAAATGAAATTCTTTTTTAGTTTTTTCTAGTACAAAAATTATGTTCCCTATTATAATTTTGAGAAAAAAACTAAAATATGAGTAAAATATTGAAAATATAACAAAATAAGAATTTTATATTTTTATTTTCGGGATCGGATATGAGTTAAAATACATTAATATTACCAATAACGACTATATATATTACCAAAGAATATTGTAAAATGCATATGTATAGTGTCACTTTACGATATTGTGAACTCATATTTAGAAAATAAAAACATGGAATTTTTATTTTAGTACATTCTCTATGTTATATTCCTATTTAGAGTGATTTCGTTATAATCTTTAATTGAAATTATTAAGTTGATATTTTCCGTCCTTATATATATACGGAGTATAAAGATCCGGCCGGCTAGAAGCGGAGAACAGTTCGCAAGAAATTAAATATGGCGATGGTGGGGTCCACGTACGTGTTCAGGGACACGTGGGAGATGGAGAAGAGGCAGGTGTTCTTGAGGAGCTACCATTTCTGCAGGAGGAGGGGCGTGGCAGAGAAGGTGAAAGGGAGTCTCTTCAGGGTCAAAAGAGTCATTTGGGTCCGTCTCAGGTCGGCCGCGAGTTTCAGGAGGAGCGTTTGGGCGAGGCTCAGAGATGGCCTCTCCTGTTGTCGCCCAAGAAGAAGAAGAAGAAGAAGGGGGTGTTTGTTTTTCTGCCAGAAGACCTTCTGGCGTCTTTTGTATGCGCCGCGCAGACGCGCGCAGACGATAGACTCTGCAGATTGTTTGTTTTTTGGAAGACATTTCACTCAAAAAGGTCTTCCTGGCATCTTCTTGGAGAAGACATTAACCAATGTCTTCTAACATCTTCTCCTTTTTTTCTACTTCTCTTCACCACCACAACCGTCCACCGCCACCGTCCACCACTACCACCGTCCACCATCACCGTCACCGTCCATCACCATCGTCGTCCACCGCCACCATCTACCGCCACCGTCCACCACCACCTCCGTCAACGTCCACCACCACCCTCCACCACCACCACAATCGTCCATACACCACCACCATACACTACCACCATTAATTTATATAGCAGTCTACAGACATTAAAAAAACAAACAGTCTTCTTCTTGCAGACCGCAGACCTTCGGTCCACCACTTCTCTTGCAGATGTCTACAGTAGTGGTCCGCAGACCGCAGACCTTTTCCTGCAGAAAAAACAAACACCCCCGAAGACTTCTCCTCCCCCATTCTTTATTGTAATTCCAATATTGCCCATTCATTATTGGTAACTCTTTATTCTGAAATTCTTGTCTCAGAATATTGTAATTCCAATATTGCCCATTCAAAAATTATCTTCTTCTTCACTGATCATATGATTAAATTTTGCATTTGGGTCTTAAAAGATATATTTAAGACTCTTATTTTGACATTTTCATACTTTTTTTACTCCCTCACTTACTTTGTTGTGATGCTATGCATTTATATGGCAAAGAACATGAGATTTCTTTTGGGTTTCCAATTCTGATTAAAATTATATAATTAGACAATGTTTTTTAAAATTATGGTGATGAAATACATTTAATCCTATTAAACTCCGAGAATTATAATAATTTATGAATTTTACATAATCTAAATTGGACAAGTGAAATTTGCACTAGATAATACTAAAATATAAGTTTTTTTTCTAATTAGTATCTAAATTTTTTTATTTTCTAAATAGTACTTGAATAATGTCCAATGACGGTAAGAATATCTGATGCCTGTGAATATTTACTTTGAACAATGTCCAGTGGTGATTGATATTTATTTAGATTATATCCGGTGGACATTGAACAATTGTACTATAACGATAAATTAAAATATATAGTACTAAATTGGAACTCACTATGCATTAGTATATGTAAAAAATTCTCTAATAGAATAAGGGAACAATTTACTCTACCATTATTTTAAAAGGTACCCGTATAAAATATTTCAAAGTACTGTGGTTTTTTTTGAATATAAAGAAATTGTGGGTGGACTTGGTCAAATTAGACCTTCCATTTCATAACACCCGACAACCATATTGAAATGCTTAACGGCACAAAAGCATACTCCTAATTATGGGATAATTATGACTTTTCTTTTAACATGTACTAAGTACTACTCATAATGATAATTAATTAATAACGACAGCAATGCTCATAATGACCTTTTTTAACCTGTCATAATATGCAACTGTTAGGGAAAGTGAAAAAAATCAGAGAATATTAAGAAGTCAAAAATGTAGAAAAAATGAGTACACCTAAATCTCTAGATAAGATCATAATTATAGTCACTTCAGATTAGATTATTTCAGAGTGAATTGAAAGAAAGAGTTTTACGAAAAAATACAAATCTCATCACATTTTCACTGGTTGTTTGCATTGTAAGCCAAGATGAATAAGAGTTTTTTTCGAATAAGACTATGTGTTATCATGAACTTGATGGAGGGCTTTATCACCGCCCATCAAATAAACTCCCATCACTTGTGTGTGTAATGGTGGAGGGCTTGACGGTGACGTGACCCATTTGTTTTCTTTTTGTTTTTTGGATTAATAGATACCCCGTAATGTTTTTTTTTAAACATATAAATTAAAATATTAATCTAAACATAATTTGAAATAAATGTATTCATCGGTCCAAAAGGTGGAATCGCCCACCCCAGGCGCCCCCACTCCCTTGCCCGACAGGAATGGTGGAGGATGTAAATCATGGTGATTCAGTCGGCCAAGAACGCTAGACCCGTGCCCACCGCGCACAAGGAGCCCCCTCACCCTTTATGGGATTTTTGGATAGCTCCCACACTGCCGCTTGTGGGATTCGATCTCTGGTCATCGGTTCAAGATTTCACGCTCTTGACCAACTGAGCTACCCATGCGGGCTTGAAATAAATGTATTCATTATTGAAAAAAAGGAGGGGTATTAATACTTACTTTTCAAACTACCAGAGTAACGGTGCTATTTGGCCGTATATAGTAAAGGTAAAAGCATCTTCTTTGTTTCCATTCCACTTTTCAAACTGGTTGTTTGCATTGTAAGCCAAGATGAATAAGAGTTTTTTTTCAAATAAGACTGTGTTATCATGAACTTGATGGAGGACTTTATCACCGCCCATCAAATAAACTCTCATCACTTGTGTGTGTAATGGTGGAGGGCTTGACGGTGACGTGACCCATTTGTTTTCTTTTTGTTTTTTGGATTAATAGATACCCCGTAATGTTTTTTTTTAAACATATAAATTAAAATATTAATCTAAACATAATTTGAAATAAATGTATTCATTATTGAAAAAAAAGGAGGGGTATTAATACTTACTTTTCAAACTACGAGAGTAACGGTGCTATTTGGCCGTATATAGTAAAGGTAAAAGCATCTTCTTTGTTTCCATTCCACTTTACCTTTCTCTTCATTTCTACTCACAAACAATAATTTTTTTCTCTTCGTATATTTTCTCTTATTTTTTTTTCCTTCCCATTTCCTTTCCTTCCATTTTCTCGATCATTTCATCAAAACAAAGTTTTAGAGTTTCTTCCTTAATTTGAGTATAGCAGGAGGACCACTCATTAAGAGCAATGAGAAATCTCACCCCAACTCAATTTTAAAATAGCTTGCCTACTATATATCTATGAACTCTGCCATAGCTATGCTTTATTATTGAGACAACCAGAAAATACAAGGCAAGAAATACATAGATGTAATATGGATTTCAAGAATAACAATATGAACACGAAAAGACAACAGATTTACGTGGTTCACCAATATTATTGTATTGGCTACATCTACGTGAAGTAGGAGAGCAGAATACAACTTAGGATTTGTGATAACACACACACACACACACACACACACATATATATATATATAGTGCTAGGCTACAGTAACAGGACATATTTGTACCCGTGTGATGCGCCGTACTACCTGCTGTAACGAGTCAGATTCAAGGCATTACAACAATAGATTTAAGTTGATGAATCAGACAATCATGCCCTCAATTGTTAATGATCTGTTAGAGTCTATCCCACATCAGAAAGTTGAATAGAAAATCTATCGGTATATAAGCTCTTGAGTTTAACTAACTAATCGATTGCATTCAATCTTTTAATACGGTTCAACCCAAGTGTCTTATTGCCCAATCTAGTAATCCTTGCCCCATCCTAAATTCTATCATGGTATCAGAGCAGGTTTTGGCCCACCTCATTTGTCAAGGTGTCCGTCCAGACGTTCATTCCTAGCGGCCCGTTTGTCTTTAGCCTAGTGTTCCGTATGGAGTATGTACCCAACGGCCTGTGACCCGTTTAACACGATTGCTCGTCTGGAAGTCTATACCCAGCGGCTTGTGGTCCTTTAGGTGTTGGCGCTAAAAAAAAGTCAAGGGAATAGGAGTTCATTTGCAAGTGGTCAACCGGTTAGATTCAAAATGGCCCGGTTGTCCACTTGAGGGGGAGTGTTATAGTCTATCCCACATCGGAAAGTTGAATAGAAAATCTATCGGTATATAAGCTCTTGAGTTTAACTAACTAACCGATTGGATTCAATCTTTTAATACGGTTCAACCCAAGTGTCTTATTGCCCAATCTAGTAATCCTTGCCCCATCCTAAATTCTATCATGATCGAATATGTATGATTGACCTCAACCATGATCCTGACCACTGGTTATAAAGTGTAATTGTGTAAAAGATGTTATTGACCGTTTGTGATATAAAAATAGTGTAAAGATATTCAAAAATTCATGTAACCAACCAATAGCCAACTAAAATTGCAACGGAGGTGTAAATAGGAGGGGAAACAACATAAAATCTCATTAATATCTTATTAAAGGTGAACATGTGCCAAAATATTACAATGCAATAGTCTTATTTTAGGCATAGAAATATATTGAAGCTTTATCTCGGGCATATGGTCTATGTTTTGGTCTTAGCAACATAGATTTATTATGCCTCATTAACTAAAAAATGTGAACATATGCTACATTGTAAAAGAATAAATAGCATTAAAAAACCATTTTAGATGTTATAATGGGGGTTGGTTCATGTGACATTTAGTATCAATGTCATAGCATGACCCGAGACACATATAATGTTCGTACAAAATATTGATAGTTCTTACTTCTTTAAATCCCCCAGCCTCCACTCCACCCAACGCCCCCCTCCCTTTTGAAACGCAAAGTCACATGAACCTGTCCCTTTATAAAGAATAATTGTTTTGCATTTTTTAAAAACAGAAAATATATAGTAGTTGCTATTACAAATAAAAATGGTAAAAGTTTAATTTTTTGGGTTATTTTTGTAAGGTAGATTTCTTTAAGTTCATGACAAAAAAAATTGGTCTATCCAAGCTCATGTTCCTTGTTGATCAAATTCCTATGTGCTTGAGTAGTTGAGTTCTATCCTCGTTGTATGAGCACTTGAGAGTTGATATTGTCGTCATAATCTATAAGAACTTCATTGTGTTGTTGGAGTTTGATCATCATTCGCTATGATTTATTTTCTTTCTTTCGTGAAAGAGTGTAAAATCTTGATCTTGGGATTACACCCACTGCTTTGGGTAGATAATCCTATTCATTTGTGAAATCAAACGTTAGGCAAAAGAAATTTCATGACTTATGAAATCAATTCATTGGTGAAAGGGTAAGAGGTTTGTGAAATTAAATTCTAGAGTTATAAGTTTGCTAGACACCGTTAACTTTAATATGGTTAGTGAAAGCTCGGGCACAATAATTGCTCTCCCAGAACGTAACGTAGGATGATGTAGGCATTATGTTGAACTGTTATAGATCATGGTGTTCTTTATTACTCCCTCCGTTTCTTAAAACCCTTTCTCTTTCATTTTTTTTATTTTTCTTAAAACACTTCCACTTTCTATTAAAAAACCACTTTTACCCCTACTTTTTCATACCCTATCACATCATACTTTTTAACTAACAACTAAACTATCACATCAAGGGCAAAATTGGAAAGTCAACTACAATTTAACACTTCTTTATTTTCCCCCAAAGTCAAAAGAGGAACTCTTTTGAGAAACGGAAGTATTACTTTTTATCATATTATTTGTTTGTTTGAAAAGTTAATTCTGCAAAATCGTCATAAGTGAGCAACATCTCTACTCACACTCCCTTTCTAGAGGTATGCATTATCTCTAAGATCTCGAAGTGAAATAATTTTTTTTTAGACACACTGAGTAGATTCTAATTACTTTAACACTGATACTCCGAAAAATATTTGAATTCGTGATTTGTATTTTGTTTTTTTTTTTTTTGAAGAGAAAATCTGAAGTGGTAGATATATTTTAAAACATTCGCCTTAAGGAGTGAACCCTTATATTTAAGAGGATTCTCCATTTTAAAAAGTGATTCATAAAACAATAAAGCTATATG